TATTACCATATCGTATCAAAATTAATGCAAATGAAAGTTTTATTAACCTGGTGCAGCAAATTTGTCAAATAGATATGGACATTCGCAATCACTGTCAACTGCCTTATCAACAGATCATCAGGGGTAATAGCGAGTTATGTTCAAGCAAGATTCCATTACATTTTCAATATGAAGAGATTCATTCTTGTTCAACTAGTGGAATAAAATCGATAGCCAAGACAAACGATGCGACATTAAGTTTATATACTGAACAACCTTGGCTACATGACAATGGTATTGCTTCTCATGATATGAATTTAAGAATGATTCATAATCAGTCTAGCCGAACGACCTGTTGTCTTTTTGAATGTAGCGCTGATTGTTATGATGAAGTGACGGTGTCCAACATTGGTCGATATTTTCAGAATCTACTTTCACATATCTTCACTGAAAATACGAAAACCATTGGATTCGACCCAGTTTTTGAAAAAATCGGCAATCTTTCTCTTTTACCAATGAACGTTGAAAATTTATCAAACGTCATCGAATCACTACAATATTTCTCCGAAATAAGTAAGTGCCTCGTAGAAAACTCGTTTCTAATTCCTCTTTACGTATCTGCATGAATTAAAACTCGTACATACTGAGTAACTTGTAGAATCAGTTTAAACCTCTTCGAACATAAAAAATAGTAAGTTTGATATAAGAATGACATCAATTTGTGACACATCATGTTAACGAAAGAATTCTGAGTGAAAGTAGATTAGTATTGGATTGCTATTTTCGAGAGATTCGAGTATTTAGCTGTGAGAATAAACCTAATGGATGTGTAAAAATAATATGTGACTATCATAGAACCAGCTTCATATGCTCAACACCAAATATGGCATGATGAAGAGCATCGTTTGCATTTGGATGGACCACAATTGGCAATATACAATATGGTATTCTGCTATCGTCTTTCAGCTAATCATACCTTGTCTGTTCAGCAGCTTCGTTATGCACTCCATCTTGTTGTTGACAAACATCAATCTCTAAGAACATCATTTGTTTTTGATACTACAAAAAACATTCTCACTCAACGAATTGTTGACCAACAAAATAATGAACACAATCGGTTTTCTATAGTCGAAAGTATTTATGAAACAGATGAACAATTGGATGAAATTATGTACAATGAGACACATAATCTTCATGTTTTTGATCTTACTCAGGGTCTTGTCTTCCGATGTCATATTGTTCGTTATAAACAGGTTTCTACCAATGATCTTATCTCCGATAACGATATCATTATCTTCAACTTTCATCATGTCTCGTTCGACTATCCATCAATGAAGATATTTCTCCATGATCTTCATCAAGCATACACTACAAGTCAGCTATTCAATGAGAACAGCACTAACAGACTTCGCTATCTCGACTGTAAATATTCATACTTCTCTCTTTATAATCATATCATGTCTTTCTCTCTTCTTTAGATGCTGTCATTGAACAACACATGCCTATGATTGGTGCAAGCATGTTCTGGCATGATGCTCTGCAAGATTGCAAACTAGATCAATCTCTCTCATTGCCATATGATCGATATCGACCAACGAATGAATACCGATCTAGTTTTGGAACATCTATTTCATTCGATTTCGATCGGGATCTTTGTGATACTTTCCTTCACTACACATCTTCACAAAAATTCTCACTTGAACATCTAGCGTTGTCTATGTATTTTGTCTTTCTATTTAAACTAACGAATGGAGAAACAGACCTATGCATTGGAATGAACATAGATGGTCGATATAGAGATGAACTTAGATCTGTGATCGGTATGTTTGTCAATACTATTCCCTTGCGATGTCAACTAGATCCACAATGGTTTCTACATAACGTTGTTAAACATGTTGAAGAGATACTAACAAACAGTCGAAAATACTCTTATTTTCCACTTCAGCGTCTCCTAGATCAACATCCACGTGCTTCCAAATCTGCATTTCCTGATGTCTCATTTGAATTTTTCTCATCTATGACAATAAATGACAACAACATCATCATGATTGGTAATAGTCAACTTTCTTCGGTCACGTCTCCAATAAATATAAATGAGAAGGAGACCAGAAATCAACTCGACGATTTTTCCCTTCTCATTCAACATGATCTTAACACTAATCGATTTGCATGTATAATCAATGCATCACTTGACTTATTCAATAGAGAGACAGTAAAGAAGATTTCACAACGATTTCATTTCATGTTTCATCAATTATCTACATCTGTTATCGACGGTCAAATAAGCAAACCTATCTATGAATTATCATTAATATTATCAAATGAGCAATATGTAATGCAATCAATGGATAATACACAAAAATCATTTCCTTCGATCACTTGTATTCATCATGAATTTGTTTATAAAGTCATGCAACAGCCACAGAAACTAGCTGTTGAATTCGATAATCAATCTCTTACATATACTGAACTGTTATATTATGCACAAGTTTTATCTTCACATCTTGTGAAAAGACATCTTATCGTTCCAGGTGAAATTATCTGTCAATGTGTAGAGAGAAGCTTATCGATGGTGAGTTGTTGTTTAAGGTGATGAAGATTCATCCAATTGAAGGTTTTGTATGTTTGTTTTTCGTAGATTATTGGTATAATGGCTATTGAAATGAGTGGAAGTGTATATTGTCCATTGTCACCTAGAGATCCACAAAATCGTTTGTATACACTTATAGAACAAACTCAAAGTCGTATTGTTCTTATTCATTGGTTGACAAGAGCGAAATTTCATGATAACGATATTGTTTTGATTGATATTGATTCGATATTGGCAAATCATGACTCAAAGGGTGATGCTGATATTGATCGACTATCCGATGTCAGAGTGACATCCAATGATACTGCTTATCTCATTTTCACAAGTGGTTCAACTGGCATACCCAAAGCAGTACGTGTATTAAATTTAAATAATACAGAACAGTACTATATTCTGTTTGGTTCAATAATTTCAGGTTCAATTGCGCCATCGTAACTTCGTGTTTTACATTAGATCTTACATAATCAAAGCGTCGGACACTTCTCTTCACCATACATCAGTAACTTTTGATGCACATCTGAGCGAAACTTTAGGTACTATTATGGTAGGCGGTCTAGTGGTTATTCTCCATCCTTACGGACAGCTAGATATGGAATTATTTTCAAAAACAATTACTCATCATCAAGTGTCATATCTGGGCACTGTACCATCTCAGATGATTAATTTAACTAAGTTTCTAAATACTACAAATCGAAATTATGTTTTTGAAACGCTTCGATGTGTATCAACCGGAGGTATTGAAATAGTTGTAAAAGTACAAGTTTTTTTTCAAAATTTTTCGTTTTTAATGTTAGGAGAATCGCTATTCGTTGGTACTGTTGTTGATATTCAACGTTACCTAAAAAACAACTGTCAGATTTACAACTATTATGGTCCTACTGAATGTACAGAAGCAGCAGTTGAACATTTAATAACAGAAGACGACCTTGTTCGTGGTTCTATACCACTGGGACAGCCCATGGCAAATGTATACATCTATGTCGTCGACAAGTATCTTCAACCCATTATACCAGGCATGCATATGGGTCAAATTATTATTGGGGGCGAGTAATTTTCTACATAAACGTAAATGAGCAAATTGTTCACATTCTTCCAATGCTTATATAGGTGCTGGTGTATTCGCCGGTTATCGTAGTCGAAATGAGTTAACAGCTCAAGTCATGTGTCAAATCAATAATGAACTATGCTATAAGACAGGAGATTTAGGATGTTTCAATCCCAAAACTCGTTGTTTAGAATACTGTGGTAGAGAAGATTATCAAGTGAAACTTCGAGGACAACGCATTGAATTAAGTGAAATTGAATCAGTGATTATGAGTATTGTCGCAATGTGTATTGTTGTCAAAGTAGTACATAGCAATAATGACTATCTTGTTGCTTATGTAGAAGAAAAGAGTTATAATGTAAATGAAGAGCAACTACGTCAGCATTGTCAATCTCATCTTCCTCCACATATGATTCCATCTTTCTTTATTATTCTTGATAAATTACCTTTGAATCAAAATGGAAAAATAGATCGAAAACTACTTCCATCATCTTACCTTCCATCGTCAACTACGCCATCAGTAAGTGAACTTGATACACCAGTTAATCAAGTAGAAAAAAGTGTATATGATATATGGTGCCAAGTGCTGGAGCATAATGGACGACAAATATCAACAACTGCAAACTTCTTTACTATCGGAGGTCATTCGCGTTTGTTTATTGAACTTTATCATCGTTATCAAACTATCTTTGGCTTCGATAGTCGTACATTATCTATTAGTCCGCTTCTTGAACAACCAACTATTCAACACCATGCAAAGTTATTAAAGGCAGTCGCAATTGATGATATACGAAGGGAACAATGGTGTACTCTGCACATTAATCAAAGTAAAATTTTCTAATATTGACTATTAAAATAAACGAAAATGTTTTGTTATTGTATTTTCAGGTATGGCATCATTTGCTCAAGAACGTATATTTCTGGATGAACAAATTCGATTCTCAAATAAACATATTTTCTATAATAATTCTGTTGCACTACGAGTTACTGAAGGTGTGTTGTCAATAAATCGAGTATCACAAGCTCTCCGATTGGTTTTGCAGAAACATGAAATATTGCGTACTTCCCTCGTGTTTAATAATGAAGATAGTACACTACAACAGCATGTCACTGACAATCACAAAACATTTAAGTTTCTTGATCCGCAAACTTTCGAGAGTGACAACGAACTTCAGAATATTATTTATCGAACGGTTATCAATCCTGATCTGTTTGATTTGTCTAATGGTCGAGTTTTTAGTTGCCAAATACTTCAACAGCAGAAGACTACACATGATACTGATCACACAGAGTTTCTTGAAAAGTCTGATGTTTTTGTATTATATTTTCATCATGCAGCAGTTGATGGAACTTCTATAGCAATCCTGTTGAATGATTTCTACAATGCTTATAGTAATAATATGACAGTTTCACTTGATGAACAATCAGTGCAATATATTGATTATGCTGTTTATGAACGGATTATGGATATGACATCATCTCATAGCTTCTGGTATTCTCAACTAGAAGGATTTAATCTCAAACGCGCATTAAAGCTACCAGTTGATAGACACCGTTTGCCAGCTGTTCAACGATCTAGCTTGGCGTCGGTAGCTCAAATCTCTTTAGATAAGGAGTTATCAACAATGTTTCTCAACTATGCTTCCTTACATCAAATTACACCTTTTCAGCTTGGTTTGACTGCATTTTACGTGTTTCTATTCAAATTAACTCATGGAGAAACTGATTTATGCATCGCATCTGTTAATGCTAATCGATATCGAAGTGAATTAGAAAATATGATCGGCATGTTTGTTTCAACGTTACCATATTGTGTACAACTCAATTCTCATTGGTCATTTGATGAACTTGTGAAACATGTTCGAGAAAAGTGTTTATCAATTCTTGAACATTCTCATTATCCACTTCAATATATACTTACTGATTTTCGACTTAATCAAATGGACGTTCCATTTCTTGAGATCGTATTTAATTTTTTACCGGTGTCTACAAATATTGATTGGTATTCTATAGGTGATGTACGCTTAGAACAAATTTCAATCAAACAAGCAAATGAAATTTCTCAGTTTGACTTCTCAACAATGTTCCTATACAATTCGACATCAGATAATCATAAACTTTCCTGTCGATTCTCCTGTTCGCATGATTTATTTGATAACACTACTGTTAAAACAATAGTGCAACGATTTCAGCATCTCCTGTCACAATTATTTCTGAAAAACTCAAATGGCATGGAAAAGAATCTATCTACTAAGTCTATCAAAACTTTGTCTTTGATATTGCCTGAAGAAGCGAGCGAAATATGTGCATTAACATTAAGTCACCAGACAGGCGTTTCTACAGAAGGTAAGGCTATTCTTTTTGCGTATGAAAAGATTCTCTAGTTGTGGAAGAACATCATATAAGAAAAACAAGGAAGAAACAGATTTGGACAACGACGAATAGTTGACAACGATAGACATATACACATATTAAAAATATTTTCAATAGAAACAGTTGAGGATGGGTGGGTGTGGGTGTGGGTCTGATTGTGGGATTTAGTAAGAGTGTATGATTAATACAATGTGCACACCTATATCCATCCACACCTTCAATATGGTTTTACCTTATAATTAACTAAAATTTCATTATTCTAGCACCAGCATCATTTGCACAAGCTCGTATATGGCTTGATGAAAGAATTCGATTCGATCCAGACAAACCTCAAACAGCAATCTACAATATGCCTTTTGTTTATCGTCTGCAACCAGGTCATACTTTATCGATTCAACAACTTCGTCATGCTCTGCATCTCACTGTTAACAAACATGCCTCACTCCATACATCACTTCATTTTGGTATCGAAAAGAATCTACTTATGCAACGAGTTATTACTCATGAAGATAAAAATAATAATAATAACATGTTTTCAATCATCGAAACTATTTATGAAACAGATGAACAACTTAATGAGATTTTACACGACGAGAAACGTAATCCTCAACTCTTTGATCTTGCTCAAGGTCTTGTCTTTCGATGTCATCTTGTTTATTATAAACAAATCTCTTCACATCATCTTCTTTCTCACAACGATCTACTTATCTTCAACTTTCATCATGGCTTATTTGACTTTTCATCGATGAATATCTTTCTTCATGATCTCAATCAAGCATATACAACAAGTCAATTACTATATGATGACAACACTAATCTTCGTTATCTCGATTGTAAATATAATTAGTTCTTATATTTTTTATCTTTTCTCATACATTCTCTTCTTTAATTGCATAACAGATGCTGTTATTGAACAACAAATGTCAATGACTGGTGCAAGTATGTTTTGGCTGGATGCTCTTCATGATTGTAAACTTGATCAATCTTTACCATTACCATTTGACCGATATCGTCTTGCAAATGAACATCGAACTGGTCGTGGAACATCTACTTCTTTTGATTTTGGTCAAGATCTCTCACATAACTTTCGTACTCATGCATCATCGAATAATGTATCACTTGAACAACTTGCACTTGCCACTTATTATGTGTTTTTATTTCAATTAACGAATGGAGAAAAAGATTTATGCATTGGAATAAACACAGATGGTCGATACAGAGATGAACTTAACTCTATCGTTGGAATGTTTGTGAATGCGATACCTTTGCGATGTCAACTCGATCCTCATTTATCATTTAATAAAATCACTAAGCACGTTCAACATAATATGATAAATTGTATGAAATATTCATATTTTCCTCTTCAACGTATTCTCAATCAACATCCAAATATATCAAATCCTGTATTTCTTGATACTTCATTTGACTTTGTATCATCTATGACAAAAGATGCGGAAGATGGTATAATGATCGGTGATAGTCGAATTTCTTTAATACCTTATTCAATTAAGATTAGTAAAGATGAAATAATGAGTAAATTTGATTTCATGCTTAGTTTTCAGCATGATCTGAATCTAAATGAAATCTCATGCACAATCGATGCTTCACTTGATTTATTTAATTCTGGAACAATTTGCATAATTGCACAAAGATTTCAGACAATGTTACATCAACAATTTACATCGTTTAATAGTGAAATAAATAAACCTATTCATGAATTACCAATAATATTACCAAATGAAAGATTACTCATGCAATCATTGAATAATACACAAGTATTATTTACATCTCCTGTCAGTTGTGTTCATCATGAGTTTGTATATCAAGTAATGAAGCATCCACAAAAACTTGCTGTTGAACTAGATGAACAATCATTGACATATTGTGAACTCTTACATTATGTACAATTATTATCCATAATTCTTCTTAATGAATATGATGTGCTTCCAGGTGAGGTCATATGTCAATGTGTTGAGCGAAGTTTGTCAATGGTAAGTTAATTATGATGAGTAACAATGAATGTGAATTTGAGATTGATTTCGATTAGGTGATTGGTATAATGGGAATTGAAATGGCTGGTGGTGTTTATTGCCCATTATCACCTCGAGATCCACAGCATCGTTTGCATGCACTGATAGAACAAACAGGAAGTCGGCTCCTTCTTGTTCATCGTTTTACAACAAATAAGGTTAATGATAATATAATCTCAGTGAATACTGATTTAGTATGCACTGACAACTATATGAAAAGTGATAATGATGTTGACCAACTATCAGGTATAAACGTTACATCGGACAATATAGCTTACATCACTTTCACAAGTGGTTCAACTGGTGTTCCTAAAGCGGTTTGTCTTTGCTGCATTCTAGAATATATGCTTTACTTCTTCTCTTTGTTTTAGACTCAGACAAGACATAAAAATCTCATAAGTTTCATACATTCCCTTCAATACATTGACTACATTAACGAAAAGGACACAGTAGTGCAAGTTTTTGCTGCTGCATTTGATGCACATATTCAGGAAATTGTGGGTGCTTTACTTTCAAGCGCGTCTGTTGTCATGTTACGTTCTTATGGGAATATGGATTTTTTATATTTCGCAAATACACTAGAAAACAAACAAATTACGTATATGGCATCTGTTCCTAGTTTCTTGTA